CTGGGCAGAAGGGTTGGTTTAGGGTGTGATGTGGTAATTTTCTCTCTCTCTCTCTCTCTCTTTTTTTTTCTCTTCTTTTTTTTTGAGGGGGGGAGGTTGGGGAGGGGAGAGGAGGGGGGAGGGGAGAGGGGGAGGTTGGTCTGACTCTGCTTCTTTTTCTCTGTCTTTCAATCTTTTTCTCCCTCTGTCTATCTGTCTTTTTTCTGCCTATCTATCTATCAATTTACTCATGTATGTATCTACCTATTTACCTATCTATCTATCCATTTACATATCTATTTATTATCTATTTACCTATCTATATGTCTGTCTGTCTGTCTGTTTGTCTATTTATCTCTCTGTCTGTCTATCTGTCTATCCATCTATCTGTCTATCTTTCTATTTAACTATCTGTCTGTTTGTGAAGAAGAGAAGAGACGAAGAAGAGGATAGGAAAAAGAGAGAGAAAAGAAAGGAACAGGACAAAAAGTAAGAGAATAAAGGGATAAGGGATAAAAAATAAATGCAGTAAAACAGAAAAAAAAAACACAGAAACAGCGAAGATGAAAGCAAAATAAAAGAAAGAAGAAAATAAAAATAAGGCTGATTAAAAAGAAGAGAAAAAACGAGGAAAAGAAGAAGAAGAAGAAGAAAAAAATATATATATATAAAAGACGCTCATAGAATAAAGACCAATAAAAGCCCCCCAAAATAATAAAAGAAAGGAACGAAAAATAAACAGATAAATAGGAGAAAAAAGGAGAAATAGAGAAATAAGAAGAGGGGAAAAGGAGTGAGAGAAGGAAGGGGAAAAGAGGCGAAAGAAGGAAGGGGAAAAGAGGCGAAAGAAGGAAGGGGAAAAGAGGCGAAAGAAGGAAGGGCAAAAGAGGTGAAAGAAAGAAGGGGGAAAGAAGGAAGGGCAAAAGAGGGGAAAGAAGGAAGGGGAAAAGAGGGGAAGAAGGAAGGGGAAAAGAGGGGAAGAAGGAAGGGGAAAAGAGGGGAAGAAGGAAGGGGCAAAAGAGGGAAAGAAGGAAGGGGAAAAGAGAAAGGAGGGGAAGAAGGAAGGGGAAAAGAGGCGAAAGAAGGAAGGGGAAAAGAGGAGAAAGAAGGAAAGGGAAAAGAGGGGAAGAAGGAAGGGGAAAAGAAGGGAAAGAAGGAAGGGGAAAAGAGGCGAAAGAAAGAAGGGGAAAAGAGGAAGAAGAAGGAAGGGCAAAAGAGGGGAAAGAAAGAAGGGGAAAAGAGGAAGAAGAAGGGAGGGGAAAAGAGGGGGAAGAAGGAAGGGGAAAAGAGGTGAAAGAAAGAAGGGGAAAAAGGAAGGAGGAAAGGAGGAAGGGGAAAAGAGGTGAAAGAAAGAAGGGGAAAAGAGGGGGAAAGAGGAAGGGGAAATGAGGGGGAAGGGGAAAAGAGGGGGAAGGAGGAAGGGGAAAAGAGGAGAAAGAAGGAAAGGGAAAAGAGGGGAAGAAGGAAAGGGAAAAGAGGGGGAAGAAAGAAGGGGAAAAAGGAAGGAGGAAAGGAGGAAGGGGAAAAGAGCGGAAAGAAGGAAGGGGAATAGAGGTGAAAGAAAGAAGGGGAAAAAGGAATGGGAAAAGAGAGGGGGGAGCGTCTTGTTGAAATCGTGATTGATCTTCTCGCAGGTCATTTAACTCGAGGGGAAAGGGGGAGGGGGGGGTGCGAAGAGGGGAGAAGGAGGGGGAGGAAATGAAAGAGGGGATGAGAAGGAGAGAAAATGAGAGGGGGAGAAGGGAGGGAGAGAAAATGGAAGAAGGGGAAGAGATGGGGGCAAAGAGGAGAGAAAATGAGAGAAGAGAATGGGAAAAAAGGGGGAGAAAATGAGAAGAGGAAAAGGAGGAAAAGGAAGATGAGAGGGCGAAGAAATGGGAAGAAGGAAAAGGTATGAGGTAAGAGAGAAGGCGAGAAGAGAAGAACGGACGTGAAAGAAAGAAGAGAGAGAGAGAGAGGGAGAGAGAGGGAGAGAGAGAGAAGAGAGAGAGAGAGAGAGAGAGAGAGAGAGAGAGAGAGAGAGAGAGAAAGAGAGAGAGAAAGAGAGAGAAAGACAGACAGACAGACAGACAGAAACAGAGACAAATAAACAAATAAATAAATAAATAATAAAAAACAAACACGAAACACATATAAATCTTAAGAATAAAACAACAAAAAATAAAAAAAAATTCCCGATTCCCGATTCGAGTCTAGAACATTTGTCAAAGTCTAACTGATCGAAAGCTTCATATCACTCTATTTATCTTACTCTTCTCTTATCATATTTTATCGGCCTCTTCCCTCTTATCACTGTCTGCTCTGTCTGAATGAAGATACATCATTTAAAGAGATTTTGCTTCACACTATTGTTGTTGTTGTTGTTGTTGTTGTTGTTGTTGTTGTTGCTGTCATTATTATTATTATTATTATTATTATTATTATTATTATCATTATAAAGAGAGAAGAAGAGAGAGACAGAGAGACAGAGAGGAGAGAGGAGAGAGAGAGAGAGAGAGCGAGATAGGGGGAGAGGGAAAGAGAGAGAGATAATGATAATGATAAGAATAATAAAAACAATATTAACAATAATAATAACAATAATAACGATAGTAATAGCAATGATAGTAATGACAATAGTAGTAATAACAATAATAATAATAAAATTATTAATAAAGATAACAGCAATGATAATAATGATTATAATTTGTTATTATTATTATCATTATGGTACTGTTATTATTATTATTATCATTATTATTAACAAACGAACAAACAAATCAAGTAGAAATCTAAAACACAAAAGAATTTCCATGTTCTTTGCGCTAAATATTCAGCGAAGACCGGCTAACGAGCGAACTGCAAAGGCGTTGCAATGTTGCACAAGGAGACACTTAAGCGCATTGCATTGCCTCGAGGCGGGACCTGATTTATCCTTTGTTACTGTCTCTCTTGTTCTTTGTTCTTTATTCCTTTCGTTTTTTTCTATTTTTTTCTTTTCTCTCTCTCTTTCTCTCTCTGTCTGTCTGTCTTTCTCTCTCTCTCTCTCTCTCTCTCTCTGTCTCTCTCTCTCTCTCTCTCTCTCTCTCTCTCTCTCTCTCTCTCTCTCTCTCTCTCTCTCTCTCTCTCTCTCTCTCTCTCTCTCTCTCTCTCTCTCTTTCGTTCTTGTTTCTTTTTGGTTTTCTCTTTTTATTCCTTCGTTTTTCTATTTTTTCTCTTTCGTTCTTCTTTCTTATAGGTTTTCTCTTCTTTCTCCTTCGTTCTCATTTATCTCATCGTTCTTCTTCTTTCTCCTTCATTCCTTTATATTTCTCCTTCGTTCTTCTTTGTTTCGTTTGATCGTTTTCTTACTTTTCTTATTTTTCTTCCTCTTCTTCCTTTTTCTTTCTTCTTTCATTTCCTTCATTTTTCTTTTTTTCTCCTCCCTTTTTTCCCCTTTTTTTATTTTAGATTTTCTCTTCTCTCTCCTTCGTTCTTCTTTATTTCCCTCTTTCTTCTTTTCTCCTTCTTTGTTTCTCTTAGTTTGCTTTTCGTCTCCTTTTCCTTCTTCTTTTTTCCTCGTCTTTCTCTTTACTTTTATTTATTTTTTCCTTGTTTCTTTCTTTGAATTGTTTGATTTTGTCTTGTTTCTTCTTCTCTACTTTCTTTTATTCTTCTTATTTCCTTTTCTTTCATCTTCTTTCTCCTTCCTTCTTCTACGTTAATTTTGTTTTCATTTTCTCCTTTTCTTAATCTTATTTCTTTTAATTCTCTTTTTGTTTTTGTTTTTTTCGTCTTGGCTCTTTTTTTTTGTCGCTTTTCTTTAATTTTCTGCTCTTGTTTTTCCTTTTTTATTCCATATTTTTCTTTTAGTTTTTTATCTATGCTTTCTTTAATTTTCTTTCTTTTCTTGCTGGAAAAAAAAGAATAGCAGAGAGAGGAAGAGAGAGAGAGAGAGAGAGAGAGAGAGAGAGAGAGAGAGAGAGAGAGAAAGAGACAGCCAGACAGACAGAGAATGAAGCAGATAGACAAACAGATAGACAGATAGACAGACATCGAGTGAGAGATAGATAGAACAACAGACAGACAAAATAAAGGAAATCCGAGATTCGATTAAATAAAAAAAAGAAGAGAAAAGACACAAATACCAAAATGCAAATAAGATAGGATACAAAAAAAAAAATGCATACCTCCCCTCCTCTTCCCTCCCTCCCCCCTGCCGCCCCCTCCCACCCCCCTCCCCTTCCCCCACACCCACCGAATTACAAAAATTAGATTACGCAAGAAAAAAAAAAAAAAAAAAAACTCAAAACACACACAAAAAAAAATGTTTAAAAAAAAAAACAAGAAAAAAAAACAAGAAAAAATAAAACAAAGGAAATAATTAATGGCACCTTCGTTTCTTAATCAACTCGGCGAAACTCAAGTTATATATAACTTAGAGTCCTTACGAGGAAGTTTAAACGACTTTGCAAGACGATAATCAGGTATAGTTTGCGGTGCCAGGGAGGGGGAGAGGGGGGAGGGATGGGGGGGGAGGGGGAGAGGGGGAGGAGGAAGGAGGAGAAAGGGGGAAAGGGGAGGGGAGGTGGTTAAGAAGGGAAGGGGGGGAAGGGGGGGAGGGGGAGGAGGAGGGGAAGAAAGGGGGAGGAGGAGGGGGAGAAAGGGGGGAGGGGAGTGGGGAAGGGGGGAGAGGGGGAGGGGGATGGGAGGTGGTTAAGAAGGGGGAGGGGGAGGGGGAGAAAGAGGGGAGGGGAGGAGAGGTGGTTAAGAAGGGGAAGGGAAAGGGGGAGGGGGGAGGGGAGGTGGGGAAAGGGGGAGAGGGAGAGGAGGAGAAAGGGGGGAGGGGAAGAGAGGTGGTAAAGAAGGGAAGGGGAAGGGAAGGGGGGAGAGGGAGAGGGGAGGTGGTTAAGGGAGGGAGGAGGTGTAGGTAGGGAGGAGGGTATGAGGGGGGGAGGGAGAGGAGGAGGGGGGAAAGGGGAGAGGGGGGTAGGTAAAGGAGAAGGAAAGAAGGGTGAGGGAAGATGATAAAAAGGGGAGAGAAAGAGGTGTAGGTAAGGGAG